ATGATCCCATGCATGCACAACAGCCACTTCGCTGCTGATCCTGCAGGATTCAGATTGAAAAAAGAGGAAAATCAACAGAAATCCACTACAAACTTTTTGGAACCAATTTTGACGTAAACAGTCACTACAAGTAGAAGAGCAAGGTAGTACAGAACCAAAAGCATGTTCGAGCACATCCAAGCGGACAAGCTTGGCTTTGATCGCTGCATGCCGCCCCGTTTTGATGTGGCTCTCAAAGTAATCATTGACGACTTCAACCAGGCGGCTCTGGCCATCTTCCTTTTCCATTCCTTGAGCCACCTAAGCGCCAACCCCCAAAAGAACTACAGCACCACCCTTCGATAGCCCGCAAGTATTTAGATCAAAGGAGGGGGACATTGGAACCGTCTAAACACAATCGTTTTTGGTGGAGCCGATATCGTTTTCCAAGGTTTCTTCAACAAGAATCCTGCTACGAGTAGGTCTTTTCAACAGATTGCAGTTGGTTAAGGCAAAGCCAATCCTTGATGAAAAGCTTTGCCCATGGGCTTAGCTCAAATAAACCTGCAAATGCAACAAAACATTGTAACACCAAACGTCCTTATACCCACTACATCTTAATAATATCGTTTTCCACCGAAACGAAGCCCTCGAAAATAGACTAGGGTCATACCGTGACAAAATAAGTCAATCTCATATATATATATATATGCGCAAACATGGACAAAGCACCAACTGTTCGGCCTCTTTCCATGTGGTTCTACCAACAGCTTCAAGCATGCTCGGCTGTTCGACGAGTCGACTGCAGAACCTCGGCTCTTCGGGGTCTCGACCCGGTGCCGGACGTGGTCGGTGTCGCCGGACGTTTCGCTGTTCCCGCCGTTGGCCATCCGGCCGGCCGGCACCGAAGAATGACCGATCGCCCAGTCGTCGACTTTCGAGGTCAAAAGGACAGGCCATTTGGAAGGTGACTTTCAGGACGGACCCAGTCAGGGCTAAGGGAGTGGCTAAGGGACATCTAAAAGGGTCGGCCGTTGCAGCAAAAGGTCGGCCGAATGCGCGGCCATCACAACGATGCCTTCGGACGTGATGGGCGTTGCACCCACCCCGGTGGAGCGCCTTTGGTTGAGTGTGGATTTGGCTGCTCGAATTCTCGTTGGTTTGTTGCAAAGAACACGGGGCTGGCCTTTGGTCTGTCACATGCTGTGCGACTACGGCGCATACAGTACCATATAGGAAAGCCAGCACACATGTTTTCCACCAATGACACTGCCCCTGGGTTATCCTTGGTTTACACATGAAGTACTTTGGTAGCATGATAGGAATGGAATGACATTTCTGAGGCTTGATGAGGTAGCAGCCATAACAGGGTGTTTAGTTCTGAAGTGCTGCCGTGGCACTGCTTTAGCTTTTTCTTTGATGGACTCTGAGTGGATGCACTGTTGGATGGCCCCTGCCAAGTCGTCGGGCTTGAGCTTGGACATCATCTTCAGACCAACACCGAAGCCCATCTGATTCAGCAAGTCTGAATGATCATACTGATCCACGATGATGGGCGTAATGACCTAACTGTGAGATGATCTGAGATGCAAAAATATTTGAAAGCTGGCACAATCTTGCACACATGCACATGCTACATCATCTGCACCCCCGTGAGCACGTGAAAAAGAACAACCCTGCTGTACAATTGGCCAAATGACCGTTGGCGTGCCTGACCTGGCAGAGGAGTTGAATGTGCCTGCACCCCCATGATGAACACAAACTTTGCATCGAGGGAATAAACGACCATGTGGGGCTGTCTTCATGAACAAGACCTTCTCCGCACAGTAGGCTTTGAGCTCCTCAGCGTCTGGTTCCCCAAGAATGTCGGCCTCAGACATGGTCGACCAACTTGAAACTAGAATGCCACGCTCGCCGGTCTTTTTCAATGCTCTCAAGGACAGCAGGCACATGAACTTGGATGAACCACAAATGAGCGAGCCGTAGCCAAAGTAGACTGGTGCACTCCCTGCGGCGAGGAAATCCTCTAGGAGTTTTTCCTGCTCTCCGCCAAACTCGCTCCCTTGCTGTTGCTGAGGCGTTGGCATCAGCGCTCCAATCTGCACATTGTTGGCATTGAACTCTGCTGGAATGTCTCCATTCAAAGTGGGACTGCATGCAATGATGGACAAAAAGGCAGGGTTGGCACTCCAGACCTGATACAATTCTCTCAACAAAACCTGCAGTTTGGGGGCAGGCTTGCCCGTCAGCTGCGCAATCACTTTCGAGGAATTCTTCAGCTCTGACTTGAGCATAATGCTCATCACCAAATACCACCTGAATCTTCCACACAAATGACATTGAACATTGGCACTGAAACGGGACTGAACCCCCCACCACTTCATGCCATGAACCAGAAAGGAAAACCGGTTCTGAAAACTGGTTGAGGCACACACACTTGCGCAAGACAGTAGGTGTTCCTGTCAAACCCATGGGCGAACAAGATCGACTTGGTCTTGTATGCTGAAGGCTCAAAACCAGGACTGGGATCTCAGTCTTCATCATCACAATCGGCGTGAACGTGAGAAAACCTGAATCAGCAAGCATCAGTAGCATCAGCAAGCAAAGGTTCTGGCAGTTTGTAAAATCTCCTAGAGAGGCCAGCGCTGTGAGCGTGTGTATTTTCTAGTTTTTAAAACCAGCCATTTTTAGGTGTCCAGTAGAGAAATTTTGCCACATGAAATGCATACGCTCACAGTGCTGCTGTCTATTCTATTACAGTAAGTCTTCAATGAATGCATGCTCAACTTTGCTTTACTTTTAAGATATGATATAGTAATGACTGCCGATGAAACTTAATGCTTTCAAAAAATGCATCTGTTTTAATATTTAAATTGTCTTCCATGAGCTGCTCTTATTGACTGCATACAACATTTTGAAGGAGTAAAAAGTGCATTTGTCTGAAATCTTTCACTTGTCTTCCATGAGTTGCTCTGGGTAGTCTTCTGTGTTTGAGTATAGTTCATTAATTTTCTGAAGTTCTCTGAACTCATAAACAAAACAAAAGATATTTGATTACACCCAAAAATAGAAGTAGTTTTTATGAATGCATACAGGTTTAAAAACTCAGAAACATACCATATTTTTTTAAAATACCAATCAACTTTTTTCCAATAGAACTATATACTCAATTTATGGTTTCATATTGGATTTCTCTACTGTACATATAAAGAAACACTATTTTATATAAAGATGTGAGCCTTTTAGCTTGTAATATCCCGTTATTTAAGAGAGCATTCGTTCATAATTTAATGTATTCAAAATGATGTTATGATTTTGGAAATCAGAAAAGTGCGTTCATAATTGCATGAACTGTTGGGGATGTCAGAAGATGTCTGTTTTGCGCGGTTGCTTTTGCTATATTTTTGCTTTTTAGTTCCACACCAAATATACAAGAAGAACACACAAAACATGAACTCACTTTAGATAATGCATTATACGTGAACGCTTGCAGATAAGACTGAAGGCAAGACCGGTTAAATTATGATAGAATTGGTTCACTGCCACTAGCAATATACAAAAACGATCAAACACGGTTAAGAAACAGGAATTCAATTCAAGAATTTGATGCGGCCACAAACTCTAATCAAACCCAGGAAACCCTGAGTTAAAATCTACGCTCCAACCAAATCAAACCATCGGATCATCATCAATTAATACACATGGCATGGCACTGACTGGATTTCGATATCCTTCGTATTGGTTTTGGGCTCTCTTGATTGGGTTGGATTTGATTGGATTTCTTGAGCTGCACTGGGTTGAAATATTGTCTTTGGTTGGGCTCAGTTTGATTGAAATATGACACTATTGAACTCAGAGAGAGGGAGAGAGAGTTGAATGCAGGTTTGATTGGGAAAAGAAACACATATATATTGTATTTGACGCGCTTGTGGTACATGTCTTTGTTACTTTTCCCTTAGCTAAATCAACAAATCCAGTCCGGTTAAATCTAATCCAGTCATATCCAATCAAGTCCAATCCAAAAAACAAAACAAATTCAGCCTAATCAATTCCACTCCAATTAAACGAAGCAAAGAAGAAGAACACATTACATCCAAATCAATGCCAAGCCAACCTTCCTTCAACCGCACCACATCTAACCAATCGAGTTCAAACAACAAAACAGCCAACCATAACACTTTCAAAATTGAATATAAAAGTTACAAAAACTTAGCAACCGTTAGCAAACTTAGCAAAACCTAGCTTGCACTTGGCAAAGCTTATCAAAACTTAGCTAACCTTAGCAAGTACACAGCAACGTTACCAAGTACTACCTATATATATATAAGTATGGCGACTGGTAGCCGGACTTAGGCCGTTTAGACCATACTTAGCCACATATGATATCAGGAGAGCAACTCTAAAAGAGAAACAAGAAAAACAGTAGCCCCCCTCAAATACCAATCCTGTAGAGGAATAGTTGGCCCTCCCTCCAAATACAAAAATACCAAAAACACAGAACCTACTATTTTTTGTATTTTTGGTATTTCCTGTAGGTCTTTTGTACTTTTGGTATTTTTGGTATTCACACATTCTCCGGTGCATAGGAAATACTTAAATCTTTTAGATTTTCCTGTGCATAAGTAACACTGAAAAATACACACGCTCACAGCGCTGGTTTCTGATCTTCTAAAGCAAAGCCAATCCGAAAATCTATGAACATCTTCTAAAGCTCCACCCCTTTGGGCATGCGTTGGGCAAATTAGCCTGCAAGTAGAATAAGTCAGGACGTGCGGAAACAATGCGACAAAGCCCTTAGGTTTCCTCCGCCCCCAATGCCTGTCAGCACCAAATCTGGTTTCCATTCCACCAGCAGCTGGTACAGAAGACCCAAATCCTTAGCCATTCAATCAAAGAGCTGAACCAGCAAAAGCACAGCTGAAGAGAAGGCCTTCTTCATGCGGGATTTCCAGGCTTTCCAAGCTTGTGTGTTTGGTAAGAACAGCACAGGGTTGATGCGGCAAAAAGTGTTCATCAAAATGGCAAGTCTCTCTTGCTCTGGTTTCAGGTGTGACAAGCTCGTCCCTGATACGATCTTGCGCCGTCATCATGCCTTGCATGTCGTTCACAGCGAACGCCTTCTGCATTTCTGGGTCGGCCACTAGTTTCCCAGTACTGAGGCGGCTTCGAGTAAAAGGCACCTGGATCAGAAACAAAAGACACTCAATCATCATAACTCGTCTTTATGCTAGATCTCACGCGCACGTGTTGACCGTTGACCCCCTAGCGTAGCCTATTTCAACTAGTCCAGCCTATTTCAATTCCAAATGTGTGACTGCTATTGGCGAACGTCGGCACCTGAAAGTGCTTGGCAAGAGCATCTGCATCACCCGGGCCCGATGTCATCACATCATAGCCAGCCATGATGAGAGCTTTCGCAGCGACCATGTATGGCTGAACGTCGCCGCGCGAGCCATCAAACACCTCGGAGAACACACATGTTGTGTTCAATCATTGAAGATTAAACTCCTCCGTAAATGACCAAATAGTGGATATAGATGTTGGTATTAAGTTGGTATCCTGCGCGCCGACTACCTTGCAGAAACTGACATTGCAAGCCAGGCACAACCAAGATGCGCTTCACCATGGCTTCGGTACTGCACAACCGTGGATAATGAGAGCCAAAAGCTTTCAACAACTCCGTCTTCGAAAAGCCGCGCAATTTTCGATGAACAGCGACACATCATGTCCGGCCAAGGTGTGATTATGTTTTGGCAAAAGAAGGGACCAAAGTCTGGAGTCTGAACCAATCTGGTGGGGTAAAGACTAAAACCGTCCAGCTGTTGGCAGGCCAAAGCTTCCAGATTCCATGAGTCGATACGTAAACACCTGGCGAACCTAATGTTTCGACCACACTGGCGAATCCCCATGTTACTCCCCTGGCCCGTGGAATCTATGGGATTGGTTATGCCTGATTGAAGTGGCAATCGAGGCAAAGGTTTTTGCAAGGAACCCAAGCCATTGAGACACATCCACCGCAAGACTCCCGCCAAACCGAAACCTCGATCCGTCCGACTCTTCCCGAAACCTCGGATCCGTAGTGGTGACAAAACGGTCATGCAAGCAGTGGCTGAAAAACGCAAGGGAGAAAAGCAACGAAGAAGTCAAGTGGTTCTTTAATAAGATTGCTTGCCTTCTATCCCTTGATGCCTGCAGAAATACCCTTGCTCCAAAAAGCTAGGCAAGGGTTGAATTAAGCGGAATTCAAAAGTGAGGTCATGAATGAGTCAGCTCGGACCCCAATCTGGACAAAAAATGGAAACGTGTCCAGCTGTGGCCTTAGCCCTGTCACTTGATAGAGAACCTAGTAGGTCTCAGTCTGTTGTGGTTTCTTGCAGCATAATGATCCCATGCATGCACAACAGCCACTTCGCTGCTGATCCTGCAGG